ATGAATGCAACACCATTCCTTTTCAATTTGCCATTGCCTTATTCAATGGCATCCCCTTATTCGCTAAATTGATTCAGTGCATCAGCATGTGAAATGACAACTCAATGAGTCCAAAGAGTTTAATATCATATCATAGGCAATTGATGCCCTCCTCAGTAATAATCTCATTGCATCCACATTATTAAACAGATGGATGAAGGAACTAATAAAGAGAGTCAACCTCAGAATCAAGGTTCCATGAAACACCTTGTGACAAAAGAAGAATTGTCACCAAGTTACCTAATCTGAAGGAACCCTTGTTGGTCAGAAGTGGGGGAGTTTGTGGGGGGATGAGGAAGTCTGGGTGCTTGATTTAGTTTTGTCGGAAAAAGTCTACTCTCATTTATGAATTCTAAACCTGAGAATTCAGACTGGGATAACTGTGTACCTGTTTTTATGGGGGGGGGGGGGAAGAGCTATTATTTTTCCTCTTCTTCAAAGTAAGAATCAAGGAAAGAGGCTGAGTCTGAATTTGGATCAATGAGATAATAAATATATCTGTGCTGCTTATGTGCAGCTATAGACCTTAGCAGAAGTATTGCCAGACCACCTCCATTCCTGCTGCAGAGAGGATGGAACTGACTCTTAGCAGTGTTCTCCATAAGGCTGAGAAGTGGAACTCAAATCCTGGATGGGATTTACAAGGATTAGAAGGTTTAACAATCTTGGATTTGAACCTTGGCGCTGCCTCTTACCATGTGGTCTTGTCTTGGTCAAGTTACTTTGCCTTTCAAGGCCCATTTTCCTCATCTGTAAAATCATTATAAGAACAACGTCACTATCATTCTATAGGGTTGTTTTTAGGGTTTAACCAGACCATAAATCTAAAAGCATGGTGTCTGGTACATAGCAGGTTCTTGATTATTTCTTCTGAGACGTAGTTTGGCCATCATCAATGGTACCTTCCCCCAGTTAGCTCGGCTTCATTGTACCTCAACCATGCTGCTACCTACGTTCCTCTAGTGGCTTAGGACTAGAACCCAGAAAAGTTTTAAAGGCCAGCGTCAACAGGGTTAACAGTTCCTACAAATCTGTGAATTCATTTAAAACGTTTTTTTGTGATTTCATCTTTAAACTCTGCAGTGCTTACATTCCACTTCATAATATACCTGCTCATTTATGCTACATTTGTTTAGCAAAATGTGTTACGCTCACCCTGTGGTAACTACCTGTTGCCCTCCACATGGATCTACTGGCTATTTGAACAATATGGTTTTATATGAGTTTCCTTACATTTAATGGAGAACGGATAATTGTGTTACTTAAGTTCTGTGACACATTAGCAAATTTGTAAACTAACAGGGACTCTGTTTCTAGCACATAGCTGAAACATAATAAGATACTTGTTGAATTGATTTCACTTACCACCAAAATTACTAATAAAAATGATCTCATAATTGGGAATAGAATTTCAGAGAAGGTGGAAGACAGGCCAGATAATTTTTGCTGATAGAGGGGGAAACAAACTAGAGAAGAGGAGAGGGAACAGCCTCAAAGGAGATTACAAAAAGAAAAGCACAGGAAAGAGAGGAGAGCAGCAACTTCTGAAGGTTTTGCATTTTCTTTTGGCTAGCCCTGTCCAGAAGGATCTTTTTCAACCTAAGTTATCCTTGTTAGCCAGAGGAAGTGGTTTCCAGTAGATAGGAAATAATCATGTTTTCAACTTCCACAAAAATAAGTTGGTTACTTTTCATACTCTGTTTTATATCCAACTGGACTAATGATTGGGTAACAAGAGCTATTCTGGTAGAATTACACTTGTAGAGATAGGGGCAAAAAAACAAGGGGAGGGGACATTTGTGAGGAAGTTCTTTTAGTTTTTAGTCAATTTTCAAAACATTATTGTTGTCTTTGTCTCATTTCAACTTTGTTTGTCTAAGAAGGGTGAGCTATTCTTTCATCTCAAGGAGATCAAATCTAATGATGTAATGCCCTCACTCTCTGGCCCTCAAAA